CGCTGCGCGTTCGCGGTTTTAGGGGCGAAGCTTCTAAGGGTCTAGCCTTTTCCGTCCGTCCGTCCGTCCGTCAGACCGGCGTCCGTGCTCACACAAAAATAATAAAAAAATGTTTGCGCAGTCGAAAGGATTCAAACCTGTGCGGGGAGACCCCAATGGATTTCTAGTCTATCGCCTTAACCACTCGGCCGACTACGGGATGAGTAGGAGGCTCCGAGGTGTGGTAGTAATTCAAGAGCTGGGATTTCTGTTATGGATGAAACGTTACATGTAGCCGCTCAACGTCTATACAGGAGAGGGCGCTGCGGTCAAATGCGTATATAATCGCGTTAAACTTTGCACGCATTGTCTCAACTTTACAGACGAGAGATCGCTGCGGTCAAATGCTCAAATGCGTATATAAGCACGTTCCATACCACACATTCTTTTTCTGACATGGACCGTTGACTTAAGCGCTGAAGGTGCGTCCCCACGGCTTCTAGCCGATCTAAGCTGATCCGCTAAAGAACCACTGGCTCTGCATTTCACCGACCATACTGTGGCGGTAACGCATGTGACGCCACTCGGTGTATCGCGGTCACGTGCCTGACTGTTATAAAAGTGATGACGCTGGAATGAACGGGGCGCACTTGGATTCAAAGGCGGCGGCTCGCTTCGAGCGGGTTACGAAGTTCGGGCGGTCTTTTCTTTCCGTTTTGCAGAAGAGTTTTCGTGTACAGTGTTGCGTCGTCAAGCGTCGTCAAGCGCATCACCGGGGCGGTTTTTCTTCGTACCGGAGCTAGCAGATTGTCTGACGACGGACAATCCCTGCACCACTGAGCGGCGGGACCGGCTGACAAGCATGGCGGCCACTTCGGGGGGCGCCCGTTCAAGCCCCAGCCCCATGGATGAGGACCAAGGCCCACCGGCTACACCAGGTCGGCTATATCGGAAAAGGGACCGCGACTTGAGCCCCACTTCGGCATCGAATGCGTCAGTAGCATCCTTTTCCTCCGAGGCTGAGTCTGCACTGGAAGACGGGACGAACGTACATGCCAGCAACAAGGGCGAAGGGGACGACGGCTTCACCCTCGTAGGTCCGAAGAAAAGTCGACGGGGCTCGACCAACAGCGGCGACACAGTAGTCTCCAAGGAATCGCGACTGGCTGCCAGGAACACTGAAGCCCGGCTCACAGTACTGTTCTGGCCTACAGAGAAAGCAAACGTCCGGAAGCTCAACAGGGTAGAACTAAACGCTCACTTCGACGTCATCGCTCCTCGCCAAGTGAAGGAGATACGGGTCAACGGCCGAAAGAACGTGATAGCGGTCGACGTTCACATGAAAGAGGCTGTGCCTAAACTTCTACTCGTCAGGAAGCTCGGCGGCATACCGGTTGAGGCCCGCGTACCATGGACGACACATCATATCGCAGGAGTTGTTCGAGACGTAGATCAAGGCTTGTCTGAGGAAGACATCTACAACAGCATGCGGGCCCCAGTTAACATCCTCGGCGTGCGGCGCCTGGGGAAGTCGACGACTGTCAGGGTCACCTTCGAAGGCAAGGACCTTCCGCAATATGTCCACATGGGATACGTGCGTCACCCGGTTGCACTCTTCGTGGCTCGTCCTCTGCAGTGTTTCCGGTGCAATAGAATGGGCCACATCGCCGCGGTCTGTGAGAGAGAACGAACGTGCGCGAAATGTACAGGAAATCACGAAACATCGACGTGCGAAAGCGAGACCGTTCGATGCGTCAACTGTCGACGGGACCACGCCGCCACTTCGTCGGAGTGTCCAGTCCTGAGGAAAGAGAGGAAAGTGTGCAAGCAGCGCGCCAGGTCGGCCTCCACCCACGCGGAAGCAAGAGCAGCGGTACGAAAGCAAAACACGGACAAGGTAGCCAGCCGGCGTGGCGCACATCCTACAGCAACCTCAGGAGCTGCGAGTGCAAAGGGACGGGCAAGACTGCCAGAAGACGATTTCCCGCCGCTAGTAGCGCGACAATCTGGGGCGAAGCAGATGGCGGGGCACAAAGACGCAACCCGCTCTGAACCAACGGAAAGTAACCGAGCACGCGAACCAGAAGGCACTGCGCAGGTGGAGAGGCGCCGGTCTTTTGCCCATGTGGCACGAGATGGACGCCACAAGACCCAATCGACGGGAGAGGCTACAGACGCCGCCCTACTAAGAATGGTTTCACGGCTCTTCAGGGCGGTGCGACAACTGGCACAAGCACGACGCCACACACCAGAAGCGAAATTCGCACTCGAGGTACTAGATGCTGTCGGGGAGAGTCTCGAAGGAATCATCACACAGAATGCTTAAGCCGGGTATCGTGAGTCCACAGAAGCAAGATAACTCGACAAGCACCCCAACTTTGAAGGAAGGGCGACAGCCGAGCCATAGGACGGGGGGACGGGACGTCCCAACCGTGCTACAGTGGAATTGCCGTGGACTTACGGCCAGACACAGCGAACTAACCCTGCATCTGCAACGCTACCCAAGCCCAGTGCTGGCACTCGTAGAAGCCGGCCTTCCGGGAAAGCGGACACTACCTGGGTACGTGAAGCTTACTACGCAATCCATCCCCAGTTTTCCCCATGGAAGTGCGGCGCTTTTTATACGGCAAGGAGTGCCCTACTTTCAAGTGGACACCAGTCAGTTGTGTACCCTGTCGGCGGAGTTTGTGGCCGCAAGAGTCAGCATCGGCAAAAAAACTTTCCATGTGCTCGTGGGTTACGTTCGGCCGGATGGCACGGAGTGGCCGACAGATGATCTTCTGACATGGTGCAAGAACATCGACGGGGACCTGCTTCTGTGTGGTGACCTCAATGCGCACAGTGAAGCATGGGGCAGTCGGAAAACGGACAAACGGGGGGACGCAGTCACGAAAATGCTGGAGGAGCTGCACTTGGTCGTGGCAAACGACGGAGGGCCCACCTTTTTCAGGCCTCCCAGCACCTATAGCGCCATCGATGTCACGGCGCATACACCAACACTCGAGCTGGCATGGGCAACTGCCCCGGACACCAGAGGGAGCGATCATTTCCCTATCCACATCACAGTCAAGGGGTGCCAGACGGCCAGGAAGGTTGTGCGGTCGTGCACAAACTGGGACGTTTTCCGTGCAGCTTTGAACACAAGCCGTGCAGACATTGCGACAGCCATCGTTCAGGCTCTGCAGGAGGCAACACACACGACGAGCATCTCTGAATGGCTGCCAAACCCCGACCTCACCTTCCTAAACCTGCAGGCGGCGCGAACAAGGGCCCAACGAAAGTATCGACGCACGAAGAACCCGGAGGACAAGACCCAATTTAACAGAGTGTCGGCAAAGTTACGAAGACACGCCAAGGCGCTGGTGAGAGCTCGATGGAAGCTGATGTGCAGGAACATCAACGCTCACTCATCGCTGCCCCAACTCTGGAGAGTCCTAGGTGCAATGACTGGGAGCTGCAGAACAAGGCATGCGCTGCAGGTGTTAGCACTTTCAGCCAACATAACAGAGCAGCTGGCAGCAGAAAGATTATGTGCTCTATACGCCCCTGCCGAAGCGCCAGAAAAACCGGGAACTCCAAATCTATCCCCGGGGCCCCTAGACGCACCCTTTACCGTCCAGGAACTTGAGAGTGCTCTCCGCAGATGCCGAAAAAAGAGTGCAGCGGGACCCGATGGAATCCCATACCAGGCACTCACGAACCTTCCGGATGACGCACAAGAAGCCCTCGTCGCCTGGTTCAACACCATATGGGACTCTGGCGACGTACCCGACGGGTGGAAACTGGCAACCGTAGTGCCCCTACTCAAGGCAGGAAAGCCCCCCGGCAAGGCGGAGTCCTACCGCCCGGTGTCGCTAACGTCATGCGTAAGCAAAGTGTTCGAGAGAATGGTGCAAGCACGCCTTCGCTGGTACCTGGATGCACACTGTCTCCTCCCCGAGTGTATGACTGGTTTCAGGAGAGGTCTGTCAGCCCAGGACAGTATATTGGACCTTACGAGTGACCTGGAAGATAACAAGAATAAGCGAAGAAACACGGTGGCAATTTTCCTCGACGTGGAGCGGGCTTACGACGGCGTCCCGCTTGCCGCCATCCTCTGCAGACTGACCGAGGCGGGGATCACAGGCAAAATCCAAGCCTTCCTGGCGAACTTCCTGACGGGGCGAAAAATACAAGTTTGCTCTGGACGGACAGTATCGTCACCAAGGGTGCTCCACAGAGGGTTGCCTCAGGGAAGTGTGCTGAGTCCAGTGATCTTTAACATCGTGATGGCCCAGCTACCGTGCTCCATCCCACCAACGCCCCTGCCGGTGCATGTATCGCTGTACGCAGACGACGTATGTCTCTGGGTATCGGGCATTTACACCACGCAGATCCATCGGAGCATACAGGACGCCATCCACGCTGTGGACAAATTTCTGACCAATTCAGGGCTGAACCTCTCCAGAGATAAGACAGCCTGGATGTCCATACGGGGGAACGGACGCCACTTTCGCCCACCAGACATCAAGTTGGCAGGAGAAAGAATCACACGCGTAACAAGGCAGCGGTTCTTAGGAATCATCCTCACAGACAGACTGCGATGGGCACAAGCCGCGGAGGCGACCATCACAACCTGCAGGCCGGCCACGAATGCTGTCCGCCGCATGACTGGGGCCACATGGGGCTGTACAGAACGAACCATCCTGGCCGCCCAGACAGCGCTCGTCACGTCAAGGATACTGTACAGGCTGCCCTACATGTCCCCATCCCCGACGGACCTGGAGAGGTTGGAACAACTGCACCGCCAGGGCCTTCGCACGGCGTTGGGGATCCCGAAGGCTGCCAAGAACACCCTGGTCCTCCAAGAAGCGGGGTTAGAGTCGCTCGAGAGGCAGTCTTGGGAACGAAGCCTCTTCCAACTGGCACGACTGTCGACAACCCACCCAGGTAGATGGTTCCTGCGTAGAATTTAGGGCCGGACGACAGCGTCATGGAGCAAGGTGGTGGAAGTTTTCTTTCGAGTCGCGGACCCCCTAACGATGCCACAGAGCGAGTCAAGGGCACCACCATGGGAAGTGCCGAAGATAACTAGTGAGGTGCGGATTAAGTACCTGCGCTCCAAACAAGACAAGCCACCCCTTGTCATCAAGGAAATAGTGGAGGCCCACCTCGAAGAACGTCACAGCGGAAAGCTGCAGATATACACTGACGGGTCGGTAAACCACTCACGAACCTCCAGCACGGCGGCTTATCACATACCGAAACTAAGTCTGGAGTGGAGTGGCAGACTCCACAAACCCACGTCGTCAACAACGGCCGAGCTGGTGGCCATGGAAAAAGCTCTCCTAGAGGCCGCCAAGTTACCGCCCCAACCGATGGTCCTTCTCACGGACTCCCGGTGCGCCATCCAGAAGATAGCAAATGCCGAGACCGGAGACCCTGCAACGGCCGCTGCAAGGAAGGCCCTGGCTATCTTGGAAGCGCATGGCTCTTCAGTCTGTTTCCAATGGATCCCAGGGCACGTCGGCATCCAGGGAAATGAACGCGCGGATGACCTCGCCGCGGAAGCACATCAGTTTCCCCCCCAGGTCCCCACACCTGCACACCCGCAACAGGCAGCTCTCGATGTCCGCTGGCATCTCCTGCGGGAGAAGCCGGAGAAATCTTTACCCAAAGGCACCTTGACCGGTCTCTCCCGGGCAGCGGAGACACTGGTGCGACGACTACGGACAAATACGGCATACACAAACGAATTCCTTGCTAAAATGGGAAAACGGCAGAGCTCAAGCTGTCTTCAATGCAGGGCAGAAGAGACGATCCACCACATCCTCTGCGTCTGCCCGGCATACGAGACCCAACGGGAAGCGCTGCGTCAACGGGTTAAGGAGGGCACCCAGATGACAACAGACAGCTTGCTCTTTCCCGACGGGCCCAGACGAAAGTGCCGGAGGATTTTCAAGGCACTGTTGGCGTTCCTACGACACACAGAACTGACTGAGCGCCTGTAGCCAAAGTAGGCCCAGGCTCATGTATTTTTCTTAATGCATTACCCTCGGTTTTTTTTTTTTTTTTTTTTTAGCTCTATTGGAGCTCGTCACCTGCCCAGGCCAGCACATCAGAGCTAGGCTAACCCAGGAGACGTTAAACCCAACAAACCACCACCACCACCACCATGAACGGGGCTCTTTTGGCTTCTACCCCGAGTTGGAGAAGATCGGCGTCATTCCTGCGGCTGCCCACGCGCGCGGCGCAAGCGATAACGCGGCATGGTGTCAGAAGTGGTCGGGGCGTTTTTCTAACTCGCTTCTTATCGTCGGCGGCTGGCTGCTCGTCTTCGCCAAGGACTTCGGGATGGCGGAAAGCGAAGGCTGCAAGAGCGGTTACGGAATGTTCGCTGTTCAACCGCCGCCGAACTTCGACTTCGACCGTACGTCTGAATGGCCGACCTGGAGTCAACAGTTCGATGATTACCGCTTCGCGTCGGGCCTCAACGAACGGGGTGAAGAAGCACAGGTACGAACCTTGCTCTATACTATGGGAAAGCAAGCGCGCCAGATTTTCCAGACTTTCGCTTTGTCCGACGACGACGCGAAGAAGTACGAAGTCGTCAAACAGCGATTCGACAACCACTTTGTGGCCGCACGGAACCTGGTCTACGAAAGCGCGTGTTTTCATCGCCGCGTTCAAGAACCAGGGGAGTCTGTCGACCAGTTTGTAACTGCGCTTCATACCCTAGCGAACCGTTGCGAGTACCAAGAGTTTAAAGAACGCATGGTTCGCGACCGCTTCATTGTTGGTCTCAGCGATTCCAAGCTTTCAGAGACCCTACAAATGGACGCGAGCTTGACACTTGCCAGTGCCCTGGCAAAAGCTCGTTTGAAAGAGACTGTCCATCGGCAGCAGCAGCAACTACGAGACGCGAGCAACGAAACGACAGCTGCCGGTAACCTCGACGCCGTCAGGAAACAAGGCCAGCCGACGGAAAGAGACGGTCCTCCTCGGCGCTTCCCCAGCCAAGCCACCGGCCGAGACGGCGGCAAGTGCTCCTTCTGCGGAAAGGATCCTCACGCCAGGACAGCCTGCCCGGCAAGGTCAACGAAATGCAGCTACTGTCGTAGCACCGGACATTTCGCCGCAGTCTGCCGCAAGAAAGCTGCCGCCTACCCAAGAAAGGTACGACTTTCGTGTCTCCAAAAGAACAACGATGCGTACTTTGTTGGGTCGGTGAGCGGGGCAGGGTCTAACGCCCGATTCATTCAAGTCTTCATTAACGAAACGCCAGTGTTTGCTAAGGTAGACTCGGGGGCGGAGGTCTCTGTTGTACCGTCAACCTTTCCCGGACTGCCTTCTAGGTTACAGAAGTCCGATATCACGCTGACCGGTCCCAGTAACGAGTGCTTGAAAGTTCTGGGCAAGTTTACTGCCACGATACAGTGGAAACGCCGAACCGTACAGCAAACCGTGTATGTAGTCTCTCGGTTGCACTCCGTTCTTCTCGGGCTCCCTGCTATCGAGGCACTGGGCGTGATTAAGTTCGTCGACTTGGTCACGTCAAAACAGTCTGTTGAGGCGTGCTACCCGCATCTGTTCCGTGGCTTGGGTGCCATGGCGGGAGAGTACCAAATCAACTTAAAGCCCAACTCGGTTCCGTTCGCGATCCATACGGCACGTCGGGTGCGTCTCCCATTACGGAACGCGGTTAAGCAAGAACTGGAGCGAATGGAGCGGAATGGAGTGATACGAAAAGTAAACGAACCGACGGACTGGTGCGCGGGCATAGTACCCGTTTTGAAGCCGTCTGGTGGGGTACGAATTTGCGTCGACTTAACGCATTTAAATAAATGCGTGCGTAGGGAGCGCTACGTTTTACCCACCGTGGATGACAGTATGGGAATGTTAAGTGGAGCAACGGTTTTCTCCAAAATTGACGCAAACTCGGGCTTCCATCAAGTCAAGCTGTCACGCGACAGCGAACTTTTGACTACGTTTATTACACCTTTCGGAAGGATCTGTTTCCAAAGACTGCCGTTCGGAATAACCTCGGCTCCCGAGTACTTCCAAAAAAGAATATCGCAAATACTGGAGGGAATACCAGGGGTAATAAACTTGATGGATGACATTTTAATTTTCGGCAAAGACAGAGCCCAGCATGATGACCGTTTGCGTCAAACCTTGGACAGACTCGGGCGAGCTGGCGTCACTCTGAACAAAGATAAATGTTGCTTCGGAGTAACAGAATTTTTTTTTTCTGGGCTTTCAGCTGAGTCATGAGGGCATTAAGCCAGACCCAGAGAAAGTTCGCGCCATAAAGGAGCTTAAAGACTCCTGAGAATGTCTCTGAGGTGCGACGGCTATTGGGAATGGCAAATCATCTTGCCAGATTCGTTCCGAACTTGGCTTCGAAGACAGAGCCATTACGTCAGTTGCTTTTGAAAGATTCCGAGTGGGTCTGGGGGCCTGCTCAGGAACAGTCGCTGGCGTATATCAAGGACGTTATCTGCTCGCCAAGGGTCATGGCAAACTACGATGTTCGATACCCAACGATTCTTTCCGCTGACGCGTCGTCTTTCGGGTTGGGGGCGGTTCTGTTGCAGATTCACCCAAACAAAGAGCGACGTCCGGTTGCTTTTCAATCCAGATCGTTAACTCCAGCCGAGTCACGATATGCCCAGATAGAAAAGGAAGCCTTAGCTTTCACATGGGCGGCGGAACGTTTCGAAGGGTACATCACGGGACTTGATGTTGTGTTCGAGACCGATCACAAACCACTAGTCACGCTTTTGGGGAAGTCGCCTATTGACTTATTACCTCCGCGCATCCAGCGCTTTCGGATGAGGTTAATGCGTTTCAATTTTGTGGTTGAATACGTACCCGGAACGAGTGTCATAACTGCCGATGTTTTGTCAAGGGCTCCCCTGCGGGGAACGCCAGCCTGTTCTAATTCGCTTACTGTTAGCGAAGTCACGAAATACGTGGAAGGCTGCGTACCCGGGATCATCGAACATAACCGTTTTGAACGGGTTAATAAAGCTCAGGAAAAGGATGAAGTCTGTCGGAGCTTGATTGACTTGATCCGTAAAGGATGGCCGAAGTTTTCGTCAGTGCCAATGGTCTTGAGGCCGTACTGGCAGGAGAGGTCTGCATTAACTGTATGCGAAGGAGTGCTGCTAAAAGGGAGAAGGTTGGTAATCCCTCAAGAGCTCCGAAACGAGGTCCTCCAGCAGTTACACGAGGGTCATCAAGGCATTGGTAAATGCAGAGCTAGGGCTCAAGAGTCAGTGTGGTGGCCCGGGTTAAGCTCTCGGCTTGGAACTTTGATAGCCAATTGTACGGCATGCGGTGAACACCGAGAGCAGAACTCGGAACCCATGATTCCGACGGAAACGCCACAAAGGCCGTGGCAGAAAGTAGGTGTTGATCTGTGCCAGATCAAGGGATCTCACTATTTGGTTGCCGTTGACTACTTCTCTAGATACCCCGAGCTCGCTCTGTTGACATCGTTGACAAGTGCCAGTGTCATATTGCACCTGAAGAGTTTTTTTTCAAGGCATGGCATACCGGAGATTGTAGTTTCCGATAATGGCTCACAGTTTGTATCTGTGGAGTTCAAGTTGTTTGCACGCGAGTACGGCTTCCGTAGCGTGACATCGAGCCCGAGGTATCCGCAGGCAAACGGAGAGGTAGAAAGGATGGAGAAAACGATTAAAACCTTGATTTAAAGGCCCGTGACCCCTATATTTTGTTGCTAGCGTACAGGGACACCCCAGGGCCCCTTGGGAAAAGCCTGGCGGAACTTTTGATGGGCAGGCGCCTGCGTACGACGCTTCCGCTGCACCCACGAAGTTTGTTGCCCCGAGAGCTCAACCGGAACAAGGTCCGCAGGCGGGACCAGTCCTTTCGAGAGAAGCAGCGCCGAAAATTCAATCGTCGGCGTGCCGCACGGGAGTTGCCACCCCTGAGGCCGGGTGTATTAGTATGGGTAAAGGACTATAAGCAAAAGGCAACAGTCCTCCATCCGGCCAATAGGCCAAGGTCGTTCGTGGTAGAGACTCACGCGGGGGTGCTTTTAGAAAGAAACCGCAAGATGCTGGTTCTTTTGTCCCCTCAGCAGACCAGGTCGGAAGGCACACAGGGAAGCTATGAGTTACCAGAGAACCGGGAGCCTAGCGGCGAAGACCGCAGAGCCACTGAAGTTCTGGGAGGGGATAGCACAGGGAGTGATCTATCTGAAAACGGTAGGATTCAACCTCCCTTGCCTACCTCGCCTTACGTGTCACGATACGGTCGCCAAGTGAGAAAACCGGAACGCTACGAAGCGAAGTAGCTGTTGCTCGAGTTGCCCGTTTCTTTGTGACTAAGTTTGCTGTCATATACGTCTGCTGTGTGGGTTTATTGTCAAATATGGTGGCTGTACGGATTTGTTGTCAATTATGATCCTTGAATGTGTTCAGTGAAAGACCCATTGTAAATAAAAAGAACAAAAAGGGGAGATGTGGCGGTAGCGCATGTGACGCCGCTCGGTGTATCGCGGTCACGTGCCTGACTGTTATAAAAGTGATGACGCTGGAATAAACGGGGCTTTTTTGGCTTCTACCCCGAGTTGGAGAAGATCGACGTCATTCCTGCGGCTGCCCACGCGCGCGGCGCAAGCGATAACGCGACACATACAGCAGTAATAATGAAGTCTAAACGCAATCCGGAACTCAGCACTACCTATGAGCAATAAAAATATCAGTATCATCAGCACCACCAGAGCTTCGCCCCAATCAACATCATTCACCACGTGGAGATGCGCTCATTTTTTAATTAATACTTAGTCTGGGAAGAGGTACAGTCTGCCGGTTTTTATTACTGCCGTCACATTTCAATTGTCTTTTACAGTACGCTTTTCTTTTTCATTTATATCTTCTTGCTTTATTCCTGTAAAAACAATTCTAAATTAGTTGTTACTTTTTTTACTAGCTCATTTTGTGGGGTTTCCCATCAACGGTTTTTGGCACAGTATGAA